CCGTTTATATTCGAAGAATCTGGAGATTTATGGATTGCATTGTTACTAGCAATTTATAATTCTTCCCCATCCCGACACGTATATTTATTTATTTATTTATTATTATTATTATTATTCATGTAATTAAAATCATCTGTACTCGATTTAGTATAGTAAATACGTCACTATTAATTTTTTAATTAGTTACATTTAAAAAAACAAATAATAATACTAAAAATTTAAATTGACCTAAGATCGTTCCGTATTTAATTAATCATTAAACTAATTATTATAAAATAAGCTCACATGTTTGAAAATCCGTATTTTAAAGATTAGCAAGTTGATTAATTATTTAATTAATTAAATGATTAAATTAATGGCAGGGTCTTAAATCTTTTTTTAATCTTTTTCCCGAGCTCTTTCCAAAATTAAAATACTCTTAATATAAATATTAATAGCAAAGATAACCTTATTATCGGAGGAGGAATGTTGATCAAATAGAATTAAAATTGCTTTTTTAGTTTTAGTAAAGGGAATAAATAAAAACTCATTGATTTCTATTGTGAATGAAAAAAATATCATTTAAATAATCATAAATTTCCCATTCTCTTCAAAAATAAAAAACTTAATATTTTTTCTTTATAAAAATTGCCAAAAATAATTATTATTAAAAAATCAACATTTTTACATTCATAATCTTTTATTGAGCTGTATTAAATATTCATATTACTTATTTTACATACATTCATATTATTTATTGCTCATATTATATATAATAATAAAAAATATGTCATCTTCACCGCCACCATCTATCGAATCAGCGTCATCATCATCAAATTTAGGTTCACCAGTCACTCCAGCAACAGCTCTTTCAACGTCAATGATAACATCTGATACATCAACAACACCAAGTCACCAATCGCCGTCGTCATCGTCGTCATTAAATGATTTGGCAGATATTTTAATTCAAAAACTTGACAGATCAAAAATTTTTCCTCCACATCTTAATAATCCCGAGCAGTTAATGAATTTGACACGTAGGAGCGATGAACGTCCTCCAAGACCTCCAAATGGTTTCCTGTTATGTCGTAAAAATGTACATCAAGAAGCAAAAATAAATGGGATATGCAACATGAGAGTAATAAGTAAAGTTAGTGGTATGTTGTGGAGAAGCGCCTCACCAGACGAGAAAGAGCAATATGAAAAGTTGGCCATACAAGTGCATAATCTCCACTCTGAAAAATACCCAAATTACAAATATAGACCTAACAATACCATCGTAAACACTAATCTAAGTCACCACCATCATCATCACAATAAATTACCATCTGCCACCTTTTCACCATACGGTTTGCCATCTCCACCCTACTCAAATATCTCAACACCTACAATAGCAACCACGCTACCTTATTTTCATCCAAACCATCATCATTATCCTGGACATCACCATCCAAACCATCACCTTGTAAATCATCACACTAGTCATCAACAACAACTCAATCATCACTCTCTTAGTCATCACTCGCTCAATAATAATAATCAAAATCATCACCAATTAAGTCATCACTCACCTCTTCCTCATCTTCCTCATCTTAATCACCCTCTTCCACATTCGCAACAACAACTTAAAAACATCACGAAACATCACACCACCAACAATCACATTAATCATCATCAATCACCATCTTCTTCTTCTCATCATCATCATCCATACGCTAATCATCATCATCACCATCATCAATTTATACCATCATCAACAACAGTGGCTACGAATAATAATAATAATACACTTTCGCCAATGTTATCATTATCATCATCATTATCTCCTTCTAATACTAATAATACCAATACTACTACTTCTCCGCCTTCCACTAATACAACATTATATAATTTACCAATTATGAATGAATT